CTTTCTTGGTGCCTCCCCACTGCTACAGTATCTCACCACAAAGAATACTGTACAAACAAATTTGGGGGACTCACCAGTGGCAGAAAAGAGCTAAAGCAAGTAACCACAAATAAAAGGGAGTCGGCACCGGGTAAACTTACCCATTGCCAAACAAGCCCATTGCGACCCATGCAATGAGTCACAATGGGTAACAAAATATCACACATTAACCTCCACCGTTGGAGCACCAAAACCCCTGGGCATGAATGGCAGCCCAAGACTTATTAGAGAATGTATTGAAGTGGTTGGATGTACTGTAAATAGGTGCTGCCCCATATTGAACAATAAGATTTTTGCATTTCCTTTTATTCTAGCCAATTTGTTTGTCTTTGAATGGAATCAAACCGAAGCTGAAGATTTTTTATCATGAAAAATATATCCTATATTTGTTATGGAAATATATAAAACCTGCAGCAGATATTAAAAATTACCTGAGTTTACCTGAGAGCCACTAACATTAGTGGCCTCGACGAGGACAGCAAGTTGGCGGCTTGTCGAAGGTCCCCCCATTTGCCTTGATAATTGCTATTGCTGTTACTGCTGTCACAATCCTGAACTTTGGTAGGACAAGTAAGGTTCGATATAAGTTACTATTATTGTGTGTCATTTTCTAAGCAAACACACACTGTGTATTAAGCTAGATAATTTTAGTTGGGTATGGTTAGCTTTGTTAGGTTAGGTTTGGCTAGATAAGGCAATGCTACAGTGCTTCCTTTTCCAATGCTTCCTTTTCCTCGAGGCAATGCTTCCTTTTCCTCGATGCGGTACCATTAAATCATCATAAAATATTATTATACAAATTACTACATGGGATACCTGACAGTGCCCAGCTTTCTCTCCTCCCTCCCTTTCTCCCCCCCCCCTCCTTTCTCCTCTCCCCTCTTCATCTCTCTTCCCCTATCACCCCCCTCTCAACCTTTCTCCCCTATCCCCTTCCTTCTCCCTTCTCCCTCTAAGAAAATGCAGTACAGCATTACAAAGTAATACATATTCCCAAATTCAGATTTTATGAAAATAGCAGAGGGTCACTATAGATATGTACCATATGTACACTATAGATATAGGTCACTATAGTATGTACTATTTCTTAAAGAATGGCACTGAGGAGGACCTCAACTGGTGTATGACTTCACATAACTCCACCACTCCCCAATGTGTCATCCTTGAAAGTTAGGCGAGTCTAGCCATAAGTGTCTGAATGCCTACTTTGAACTGACAGTCTATTTTATTGATATAGATGTACTATTTATACAAAATTGAAAATACTAAATGATAATGTTACCATTTCTACAATTTATGAAAACATTCACAAAAATAAACATAAATTGAAACAGCTTCTTTACCCTTAGGTTTCAGGGCATGTAATATTTGTATTTATTTCTGAAATGTCATCACTGTAGTGACTGATATACAATATTACTTTTTAACAAGTGGCAGCTAATACTGTATATTATAGTCAGGTTATGAAATATTACCGCAACAAGCAATATATGGTCTGACCTGAAAGGGCCTGACGGCTGAGTGGACAACTCTTGGGATTCATAGTCCTAAGGTTGCGGGTTTGATTCCCGGTGGAGGTGGAAACAAATGGGAAGTTTCTTTCACCCTGATGCTCCTGTTCACCTAGCAATAAATGGGTTCCTGGGAGTTAGACAGCTGTTACGGGCTGCTTCCTGGGGGTGTGAAACAAAAAGGAGACCTGGTTGAGGACCTGGCCGCGGCGACGCTAAGCCCCGAAATCACGTCAAGATAACCTCAAGATGGCTCAGATCAAATGAGTTACTGAAAAAGGTTTCTGTTTTCTTTGGTATAAATATAATAATAATGGATGAACCTTAAAAATATAAACTAAACTGTAAAAAAAAATTAATATAAAAAGCAGTTATTATTTTTCTGCAAATAGTAATAAAATATTGTAGCAAGTTCTAAAATTTCAGAATATAGTTTATTTGTAATTTACAATATATATACTCCCCATATACAACCATCCTCCTGTTTAGACAGTACTTTTTGTAACTATGTGCACCATAGTACAAACATTGACATACTAAACAATTAGATATAATTTTGTACTATTCACTTTATAGAGTCCAAAAAAATGATGCTAAAATACAAACTTAAAAATTCCTAGGCCTAGTATAGCACACATTCATACTACAGTATATGAGGCCTCAGATAGTGTATATTTGGGCCTAGGAAGGTTAGGTTAGTTCAGTTTGTCTTTGCAACATAGGTAGAAAATAATTTTCTGGTTTGTCTAAATTCAATAGTACCAATTTCTACAGTAATGGTGTTGTACACCAGTATACAGTATGTACCATGGTCTTCATCCTTCCTATAAGTACTATCGAAACAGGAGGATGGGCTGCCATATAATAGTGTGTTAATAATGTCACAGCATGTATTCATACATGCATACATACATACACATACACACATCCAGTAAGGCAAAGTTACATCTAGCCTGTCAACCATGCCTAGCTACTGGCACCTACAAAAACTAACTGCACTTGCATCAGTGGATAAGATGGAACCACACAAATGCCAGGAATTCTTCATATACAGTATACTCAGACAACAAACTGAAGAATGAGAGGTCTCTACCTGTTGTTGGTTCCAGGAATCAATATTCCTGTGGCCCAGTTTCTGACCAGGCCTCCAGGTTGGTGGTCTGGTTAAGCAGGCTGTTACATGCCACTGCTCAAATCTGGCTTAACAAGGTCTCCCTAGGCCAACTACTGACTTCTCCAAGTATACAACAAGCAAAAATTGTCTAAATCCTGATTACCAATTTACTGTTAAGTGAACAGGTCCATCAGATGCAAGGAAACATGCTCAAATGTCTCTGTCCTGCCACAGGAATCGAATCTGGAATGTCCCAATTGTCGATCAACTTTAATAGGATGAGACTGAGGTAGAACCCAAGAGAAGTTTATTATAATACTGTAGTTAATAAACAAGGTGTCTGAATACCAGAACAATTACAGTACTGTCTCCAAATTACTTGAAAATGCCACCAATGCATGCCAATGGCCAGTGGTTTTCAGAGATTCTCAAGAAAAAGAGCCACCTACCTAGGGGAATGGGTAAGGAAATCAATACAAGTCTACAAGATGTTAGAAAAAAAAATGTCTTGTGAACAATATGCAAAAGCCTACTAACATACCATACCACCCTGTCCTGTAATACCAGATTTTAATACTCAGTGGTTCCCAATGAATTAGTCACAGAGCACTGGGATACATCAAACTATACCAGTCGACAGCTGCCACTCTTGCCAATCCCTGTGGCACAGTGGAAACACACTTGCCTGGCATTTCGCGAGCACTTTAGCCTGAGTTCATATCCTGGCTGGGGAGGATTTACTGTATTTCAATCCTTAACTGTACTTAACTTTACGCAACAGTAAAATGGGTACCTGGTTGTTAAACGATTTGGCAGGTCGTATTCCGGGAAAAATTTGAATTATGGACTTGCCCGAAATGCTATGTGTGATAGTGGCTTTACGAGAATGTAAGAATGATTGTATATAACAAAAAAAATAATGGTAATTATAAAATTGTCGGTCATTCTCAGGACTATGACTTGTTCTCTGACATATTATTTTGATACAGAGAAAAGGAGGATGGCTGAGAACAGTAGCCTAGTAAAATGGCAGAGATAAGTCAGATGGCAGAATTCTGCCAAATTTAAGTACTATAAATCTAATTAAACCAAAGCAAACATAATTAAACCAAATCTAATCAAATCAATCGGTATCTATCCTAACCGTTAACCTATTAAAGTACATTAGCCTAAAACTATGTATTTTTGGTTAGCTAAATGTTCAGCAAACCTACCAAGTTTGTCAATACTGGTACTTGTATACACCCAACTTCATAAACTGGCACCCAGTAAAATAAAATTACTCAATATACTTTAACATATAACAACATTTCAGGGATTTAGAAGAAAAAGCTACCCAACAGCCAACTGATCATTAACGAAGGTTACGTGTTAGGTGTGGGGTGAGATATTGTCAAATTGTACTCGGGCATTTTGACAAATGTTTTCTAATTGTTAAAACCACATATATACAATCGTTAAATTAGGTAGACATGTCACATCGTACCCAAGACTAATGGATTTAAAATCTACATAATTTTTGTCATCCTAACCTAACCCAACCCAACCCACCTGAGCCTAACACAACATAAGCAATGGCAATACACCCCTTTTTTTTTTGAGATATATACAAGAGTTGTTACATTCTTGTACAGCCACTAGTACGCGTAGCGTTTCGGGCAGGTCCCTGGAATATGATCCCCGCCGCGAAGAATCGTTTTTACAACCAAGTACACATTTTACTGTTGAGTTAAACAGAGGCTACAGTTAAGGATTTGCGCCCAGTAAATCCTCCCCGGCCAGGATATGAACTTATGACAAAGCGCTCGCGGAACGCCAGGCGAGTGTCTTACCACTACACCACAGAGACTGGTGGTCTTAACCTAGATATATGTGTTTTGACAATCAGAAAACGAACTTTGTTGAACTGTCTTGTGTACAATTTATAAAATATCCCAGTTGGGTTGTGTTGGAATGACTCGCGTTGGGTTGGGTTAGGCTGGGTTGAGATAGGTTAGGTTGGGTTAGGTTAGGTTGGGTTAGGTTGGATTGCTTTAAGGTAAGGTGGGGGTGGGATAGAGAGGATTGGGTTGGGTTTTAGGGTAAGGAGCGGTGGAGTAGATAGAGTTGGGTTGGGGTGGGTGAGGTTCAGTAGGGTTCAGTGTAGCCTGGCAGCCTATAGGGTAGCGAGCGGCTAGTACCTTGAAGACGCTACTCAAACACTCGCTGCCTTCACTAACATACTGTATTAACTGGCTCTATTTTTCCTCACTCAATAAATATAATTATGTTCTAATAACATATAATATTAGGATGCATCACTATACAAAAAATAACTAAATAAAATGAGTACTCACACTGCAACTCCCATGTTGTTTGTTTATATTTTGCTGACAACAGCTGTAAAGTGTCTTACATTCATCCCATGAAGACTCAAGCTAACCATATATCTAACTTCCTGAACTATTTTGCGTCCCCGCTTCGTTTATGCTGTTTAAAACTTTAGTATAATAAATTAAAAATGGTATATTTAAATAAAACCTGAATTTATTGATATATTAATAAAGATGAATTACTATGAATTCATTAGTTATCAAGCCCATGGCAGCAGGTGGGGGAGGAGGGAGGGAGGGTCTTGGTGGGTTGGTTAGGGGGGAAGGGGACCTTCTTGTGCTTGGTGGGTGGGTCTTTACTAGTGTTGGGGGGGAGATGTTGTAGTTGGGGCTACTTGGGGGTGTGGGTATAGTGAGGGAGAAGATGGTAGTGTCATCTAGTGAGCGCCGGCGGCACTGGGAGCCCGGCCTCGCCACCGCCATCTGTTGGCCGCCGCTTCAACCAGCCTACACCCACTGTCTAGCATCAAGTGTTGCCAATTACGTCTGCTTTTCCACTATTGCTGTTTCGCAGTTTAAATGATAAAACAGCGTAATTATTCGCATTTATAACTAAATTTAGAGATTTGTATGTTATTGTTTGAATTCTATCACATATGTAACTATAACTTATAGAGAAAAGTGTCCCGGTGAGCTGAGCTTCAATTAGTTAATCATTGGCAATTCTGTGAGTCGCTCACTGCGCCGGCCCACTCCACCCGCTGATGGGAAAAGCAGGTTGCCGTTCTTTTTATCCTGTTTTCTGATTATTGAGTGTTTTACAATGTTCTGTTGATTGGAAACTGAACTTTAGGTAATTTATAATACCGTAGCACCGCGCATGAGGTTTTGTAAGCAGAAGAAATGTTGAATGGTGAGTAATTAGAGGGGCATCTTGTGAGCAACGGGCCCCCTCCCCACGGCCACATTGTGTACCATTGATCGCGGCTGCAGTAGTGTCCCCTCGGCCAGTGCGAGCGGCGACAGTAACAGTGTAGTGAGGAAGTGATGACAGTGTGTTGTGCTAGGCAGTGATGATTATGGTGGCATGTCTCGCGACGTGTATGGCGGAGGTGGTGGGGGAGGTGGGGTACCCAGCAGCAGGTCGCCCCGGCCCCAGCGTCGAGACCTAGGCTCGGACCCATACTACCTGGACCAGGGCACTCACCACCGCGCCCACAGCCCTCAGCCCTCGGCAGCCGCGCGCCGTAGTCGCTCCGCCACCCGTGCCGCTTCCCCAACCCTGGCTCTGGACCAAGGTGGGCCATACATGGACCCCCACGCCACCATGGAAGCGGACCGCCGCAGCGGATCAGCACCAGGTACCCATCACCGCAGCCGTAGTCAGAGCCGCAGTAACGTAGGTCGCAATTATCACTCTCTGGATCGCGAAGCGCACGATCGCGAGTTTATGCCAATTCGTGATCCCCGGGACCGTAGTATGGAACGAGGTGGCACCATGGACCTTCACGGAGTGCAAGGTGGCCAGATGGCCCGCCGCGATCGCTCGTTAGACCGCGGACCAATGCTGGAAGACGACTTATACCGTGACCATCATTCTATGACAAGGTCAAGGGCCAGCCCAAACCCAGAACTTGGTGGCCGCCATGGACCAAGCACACTAGGGGGAATGGGTCGGGATGGGTATTTCTCAGAACTTCAAATGCACAATTCAGACCTTCAGAAGGAACTCGGAAATCTGAAAAAAGAACTCGAGCTAACTAACCAAAAATTAGGCTCGTCAATGCACTCCATTAAAACTTTCTGGTCCCCCGAACTGAAGAAGGAGCGAGCTCTGAGGAAAGAGGAAAGTGCCAAGTACTCGCTCATCAACGACCAGCTCAAACTCCTCAACTCTGAGAACCAGGTAGGTGCCTCCCCCCCCCCCCTCCACCTACCCGCGCCATTGATCCAACATCCCCCCCCCCATCCATTCCAGCAACCTGTCATCCAAAAATAATGATACCTATATAGCTACTACGGATGGTAGTACAAAGCAATGTTGCACCCAAAAAAGTGCACGTTTTATACTATCACCCGTACGACCAGAGAAGGAAAGCAACAACCAAGCCTAACTTTTCCTAGGATTAGTATAGTGTATATGTATGTATGTATGTATGTATATATATATATATATATATATATATATATATATATATATATATATATATATATATATATATATATATATATATATATATATATATATATAATACCCAGGATTGTTTATTTACGCCTAAGACAATTGATTAGGTTTCATGGTTATCTGTTTCTATTTCTGTCCTTTAGAATTCCAGTAGTAGAAAACGAATTTGTTTGTATACAATAGTCCATATTTTGTACGTTCCATCCATAGTAGCTATTGTTCTCATTTTTGGATGATGAGTTGTTTTTTTGGACCTAAACTACCCAATTATATTAACATAATTTTAATTAAGAGAAATTGCTTCTCGTAGATATGTAGTTCAAAATTATTTTTCAGCGTTATGTATTCGAAATTACACCCGATGTACAGCATTCAAATGGAAATATAAACTTCATAAAGGTAAGATTATAATGACATGCCTGACTTAACACGTAATAGAAATGTCAACCCTGTTAAATCATATTTGATACCTATATATGCAGACCATGCATATATAGCATGCTTATATATATATATATATATATATATATATATATATATATATATATATATATATATATATATATATATATATATATATATACGTGCTGTATAATACAGTATTGTATATATATATATATATATATGAATATATATATATATGAATATTTTAAAATAATAAACATGTTAAAATATTATACAGTATGTAGCCTTGGATACGTTTTACTCCGGATAATTAATTTCAAGCAAGCAAGTGAATAATTTTGGGGGTAATGGAAGGAAGCACCGCCCATGGGACTGGTCTGGGGGCATTATACATGAACAAAATCAACCCATACGTAAGCAGACCTGCCATTTCATCCATAAATTATCTTAAGAGTTGTAAAATCTACATGCGAACCTTTTGATGAAGTGACTGTATCCTAAGCACATCATGGAAACTAAGTGTTGTATTAGTCAAGAGATCTGAGGGCCAGTAAAAGTAGCAACTGTGTAATGAAGCTGGATTAAAAAAGGGACAATGTCATTGCTGCTCTTCAAATACAAAACCAAACTGAATTTACTGTAGTCTAACCCAACGTTGCAATTTTTTGTTATCTGTAGAAGAGAGCCATAATTTTTTGGGGGGAGGGGGGAAGAAGCTACATGATACAAACTGAAATCACAATAGCGTGAGGCATCAAATGAACAAATCCACAAGGGCCGTGATGAGGGTTCGAACCTACGTCCTAGATGATCCCAGACGCGCCTTAGTCAACTGCGCCACGACATGGTTAAAAGAACTGCAACCTGGAGTGCTACTGCCCACACATGGCTCCCGCAGCTTCTCCGAAACACAGACCACAGACCGGGGTTTTACACAATCCCCCCCATGCACCCTGCCTCTGTCAACCAAATGTTCTACCACTTCGCCCTTTAATACACGCAGAAATCACAATAGCATGAATCTAAGTTCACACTATTGTGATTTTTATGTGTATTGAAGTTAGGGCGAAGAGGTAGAACATTTGGTTGACAGAGGCCGGGTGCATGGGAGGGGATTGTGTAAAACCCCGGTCTGTGGTCTGTGCTTCGGAGAAGCTGCGGGAGCCATGTGTGGGCAGTAGCACTCCAGGTTGCAGTTCTTTTAACCATGTCGTGGCGCAGTTGACTAAGGCGCGTCTGGGATCATCCAGGACGTAGGTTCGAACCCTCATCACGGCCCTTGTGGATTTGTTCAAGCTACTTGAGTTATGGAACAGAACTTGGCGGGGTTTCAATGGGTACAAATTCCATGGCTGCATGTTCCTGTTAGTTTATTCACTGTATTATGAACCCCCATTCCCACCCTGGGCTGTGGTACAAGCAACCCGTTCTCGCACTTTCTTACAATCAATATTGACTTATTAAATAAGTGCATATATGACATACTAATTTATTGTGAATATTTTAGTTTACCTTGAAAAGCTTCATATAAAACACCGACCTTACCTAACCTTCTTAGTATGTTAAGATAAGCATCTTATTGCTTCGTAATTACAATTATTACTTAAGCTATACTTATAGGTTAAGTAATAAGTATAAGTGGTAGTGACGTGGTGCGGATTGGTCATGAAACTGGACCTTAATATTATTATACCTGAGAAGGTCACCGTTGTGATGATTTAGTTTTAGATGATTTATATGTGACTACCTCACCCCCCACAGCCATCCCGTGGTGGCCGGGGGGGGGGGGGTGGAGGGGAACTGCCTGCTAGTAAAAAGTGGGCTCCGGCATTAAGCATGTTAGTGATCATACATAATTGTTGAGGTACATCTGCGAGTAGTGTAGTTTTTAGCAGTGTGCAATATAACACATGGTCAGTCCATCAGGTAAGCAGGATACAAGAGTAGTTTAAGTTACAGTGGTTATGAAGCATATATGTACTGTAATATGTAAGATTTAAATTTGCAGGCGTTGCAAGCTTACATAGAGCACATGCACTTCTTACAGGAGACAAGCTTTTCTTACTTAACTCATATTATTTGTAATGTAATTTTGGATGAAATTTTATGATATTGGATTTACGTTAGTAACAGAGTTGTTTGAAACTCACCAAATCTACTTTTCCTATAAAGGAAAAATTGGTTGGCCAATTTCGTATTTCCATGGATGCAGTATTGCTGTCACCAGTGAGCATATATATACTGTATTTCTGTTTACCCAATTGTTGTAGTCAACTCAGGGATGGGTGACAGGTGGCGCTCTCTCTGGGTCCTGCACTGTTTCCCTTACTTAATTATAGTAGGGGGGGGGGGGCGGAGGCTGCCCATGCCCACCTGTGTAAGGGGTCTCGCTTCTCCCTTGTACACCCCCCCCCCCACTGGCATTTTTTAAATTAAATTTTGCCCCGAGGGGCAAGTTTATTGGGCAGCGCCACTCATCCTGTGAGTGGACACACCGCCATAGTGACAGTATTGGGCAGCGCCACTCATCTTGTGAGTGGACACACCGCCATAGTGACAGTATTGGGCAGCGCCACTCATCCTGTGAGTGGACACACCGCCATAGTGACAGTATTGGGCAGCGCCACTCATCTTGTGAGTGGACACACCGCCATAGTGACAGTATTGGGCAGCGCCACTCATCTTGTGAGTGGACACCGCCATAGTGACAGTATTGGGCAGCGCCACTCATCCTGTGAGTGGGCACACCGCCATAGTGACAGTATTGGGCAGCGCCACTCATCTTGTGAGTGGACACACCGCCATAGTGACTATTGGGCAGCGCCACTCATCTTGTGAGTGGACACCGCCATAGTGACAGTATTGGGCAGCGCCACTCATCCTGTGAGTGGGCACACCGCCATAGTGACAGTATTGGGCAGCTCCACTCATCTTGTGAGTGGACACACCGCCATAGTGACAGTATTGGGCAGCGCCACTCATCTTGTGAGTGGACACACCGCCATAGTGACTATTGGGCAGCGCCACTCATCTTGTGAGTGGACACCGCCATAGTGACAGTATTGGGCAGCGCCACTCATCCTGTGAGTGGGCACACCGCCATAGTGACAGTATTGGGCAGCGCCACTCATCTTGTGAGTGGACACACCGCCATAGCAGCGTGTACAACACTCCCCAATTAGGAAGAAAACCCGCTGGGTTTGTCCTGTCATTGGTTCCCCTCCTCTCCTGCATCTCTCCCAATCCTCCCTCTCCCACCCTCTTCATCTTTCTCCCCCCAACATCCCCACTTTCAGAGGGTCGAGAGTCCTCTCTCTCCCAGTCTTCCCCCCCCCCCCTCGCTTACCTCTCTACTCTCTCTGCATCTGTCTCCCCCTCACCACCTGTCTCTCCCCATCTCTCCATCCCTCTTTACAAACAACACTTCCCCCCCATCCTCTCTCTCTCTCTCTCTCTCTCTCTCTCTCTCTCTCTCTCTCTCTCTCTCTCTCTCTCTCTCTCTCTCTCTCTCTCTCTCTCTCTCTCTCTCTCTCTCACTCTCACTCTCACACACACTGTAAAGAAATCTATAGCCTCATCCAGCCACCTTTCACCAATTAGGTGGATGTATCACTATTTGGCCTGACGCCCTCTCTTAACAGGACCGACCAACCTGTCTGTCCCGTACCACACACTATTTACCAAGTGATTTTGGACGTCCTCGCCTGTTTCATGCTACTTCGATGTCTGTGCCGTGTTCCTTTCCTATTTTACGTAGCCTGATATCCTGGGTATTCAGATGACTTCCTCCATATATGGCTTTGTAGAATTTAAAGTTTTGGATAACGTCATTCTCGTCCTGTAATTGGGAACACCTTTGTGGACATTGCTGATTGTGCTTTGTGTATTTGTTAGTGTTTGTCTTAAGTTAATGCTTCTTAAATCCCCGACTGTCCAAGTGGGACTACTCTTTTTGGTTCCTTTGTCACTTATTGGTGGTATGATTTTTCCCTCGGGTTCTTTTGATGTTTACGCTAGATGGTCTATCGTGTTTTTTTTCCTCCGAGCTCTGTTTTTCTCACGTGGTATTTTTCTCTGATAATTCTCTTATCTTCCAGTACTTCCCTTTATGGTTACCTAAACTTCCACTCTCTTCCTCTAATTTTTTTGTTTCGTCACTATATGTTCAAGGACGGAAATGCAGTGGTTGCTGGTCACTAAATATTCCTGGCATTTCATGGTCGATTCTCTGTACGTGTCTCATTCTGTGTGACCCCTGGAAACACAAACCGAAGCTGTCTCTATTTTCTGCTTGTTACAACTTGTAATAAAGTTGT